TTGGCTCCGCGGCGCTCCGGCTCCGCACGGCGCTGCCCTCCTGGGACGGCCGCGCTCACCGGGACGCTGCTGCACGGAGAGGTCCCCAAGGGCAGCGCGGGGAGATAAGTGACACCGGGAGGCCGCTCGAGGCACTGAAGTCGATAGATAAAATATCAACGAGAGAGCGATGCTGTAGGGGGAGCAGAAGGGGATCGTTACGCAGGGTTAATAATCTACCGCTCCATTGACAAGCTGCATCTTCAGCCCCGGGTTTCCATCCACTAAAACACACCCAGATCATCAGTGTTTCGGGCCTTAAATCACTGGTTCCTGGGGAGAGCGGTGAAACTTTCTGATCACAAGCAAAGGAGGCAGGAAACAGCATCAGAGAAGGCAGGGAAACGGCATCAAATAAGGCAGGGAGCATCATCTGAGGCAGGGGCAGCCCACACAAGCTCTTAGGAGGGCAGCAAGGACAGAAGCCCCATGAAGAGGCAAGGTCAAAGCTCACTGGGGAAAACCAGCAGCGGGGAACAACGGGATCCTTGTGGACAGTAATAACAGCTTGGAGCTGGCGAACAAGGAAGGAGCAAATACAACAGGCTGGGAGAAGAAAATAAAGGAGGGGAGAGAGGTGGGGAAAGAAGAGTAGGTTTGAATGTCCTTCCACCTAGTTCCGCGCGCTCCTTTACCTTTCACTCAGAGTTTTACAAGCGCTTTATACACTTATTAAGCAACCCACCCAAAACAGCAAGGACAGAAGCCCCATGAAGAGGCAAGGTCAAAGCTCACTGGGGAAAACCAGCAGCGGGGAACAACGGGATCCTTGTGGACAGTAATAACAGCTTGGAGCTGGCGAACAAGGAAGGAGCAAATACAACAGGCTGGGAGAAGAAAATAAAGGAGGGGAGAGAGGTGGGGAAAGAAGAGTAGGTTTGAATGTCCTTCCACCTAGTTCCGCGCGCTCCTTTACCTTTCACTCAGAGTTTTACAAGCGCTTTATACACTTATTAAGCAACCCACCCAAAA